CTGGCTTAGAGGCGTTCAGCCGAGAACCACCGCGCGATGGCGTCGGAGCACTTGCCGTTCGACAAACTCCAGAAACCAGAGGCACGGCATGGGAGTTCCTCTCGTACTACCCCATACACTTCCCTCACGATACCTGCGAGATCCCTTCACAATCTCACACTAGTACACATGTATAAATTATGTGAACCAAATTATAAAGTGATGACAGTACCAAGTACATGCCACCGACCAGCCACTCCAGAGCCAGACTCGAGTGAAACTCAACAGGATCTCCCCTCTCCCTGCCCAGCCCTTCAAGTCCGTTCCCCTTGACTGTCGTTTCGCTAGATAGTAACTCGAGAGAGAGGGAATCTCATTAATCCATTCATGTGCGAACCCAATCGCACCACATGGCAATGGTCTAGCGTAAAGAAACCACACCCCCACAGACACCGCAGTGGAGTGGTCCAGCAACACAAAGTGTCCTCCCCACTCACAGTGCACACACACACAATGACAGTCTCATATGCCCATATCAGAGAGGCACCACGACATTCCCCAAAATGTACACGGAGTCACACGCCTACAGAGAGGAGAAGAAAAAACACAAGAGAAGAAAAATAACAACAACAGGATACCAACAGCACACAAAGCACACCAATCACAGGTGACACTCCCATCAGAGAAAAACATTCACCCACACCAGCACATCAACTCAACCCAAAAAAAGAAAACACAGACCCATTACGTAAAGCCGAAGCGGAACAGTCTCGGTCCATCTCCCCGCAGGCTACAGTCACTCAAGCAAGCCACACAACAAACAACACAAGAGCACAAATATGTTCGTGATAACGCTGTGAGTGACACCACCGAGAGAGAAGGTGAGAACAAAGAAATGTGTTTTCATTACGTGGGCAGTGTGAGTAGCAACCCAAACACACAAAGGAACACACAACAGAGGGGCACACTCAAACACCCACAACCCATCAATCTTTATACCAAAATAAAAACGCAAAAAAAAAGAGTGACTGCGTGAGGCAGACACAATAATAGGGCAAAGATGTAAAAGGAAAAGAAATTCATTACTTAATGTGACTGCGATGCCTGGACACAGTCCAATCCACTCCAAGGTTAACAACGGAAAATCATTGTGTACTGAACGTGCTGTGCCCATATCTTTATTCTTGATGTCCGTGCAGCAGTTTGTATATAATGAAAAAAAAAGAATCATTCCATAAAAACGAACACACAAGATACACAAGGTGTATCGGAAACGCAAAAGAGAAACACACAGCTGCACATAACGTGCAATGAAATTATAATGAAACACACACAAGAGAAAAATGAAAACAAAACAAAAAGAAAGCCGTGATCATCATGTGAATATGTTCAGGAGGTAAGCAACACAATTCCCTGCAGTGTGTGTGTGTGTGTCTTTCGTACAGGGCGAGCAATGGGAATGATGCACACATGATGACAGTCCACACACACACACAGAGAGAAGGAAGGTTGGTAGTGTGCGTGTTTGTGTGCCTTGAACCTCCTGCCATTCTTCACATTTCAGTCACAGCAATTAAAACACATCGGGATTGTATACCATTCCCATGGGTGAAAGCAATAGTTAGTAATATCACGGAACACACACACATCACCAGGAGGGCACAGTAAATGGCGGCAAAACAGAGCCCAGATAATAATGCGAATAAACAAAGAGGACACTCCCCTCACAAAATGATGGTTTGTCAAGTGATATGAGTGCCATAGGGAGTCCAATAGATGTGTTCAGTAAAAAATGCAAACAAGAGATTTATCGTGCTGGAAAAGAGAAAAAAAGAAAAAAGCATTAAAATCCAATAAAAAGAACAACGCCTTACAATGCATCCATATCCACTCAAACAAAGGTTAACTGTGCAACTGTGTCATGGGAACACCGATCAGCAAACGAGAGTGCAACCCAACACACACAAGAGAACAAGGAGCAATAAGGGACTGTGCACCAATGCAGGACTACTGCTGCCGTCTTTCTTCTTTTTGGCATTTTTCGCCAATTCCGCTTCCCTTGCCTTTCTTGCTTTTTCTTCCTCTGCGAGCTTCTCTTGTTTCTTTCTTTCTTCCTCTGCTAATTTCTCTGCCGTCGCCCTTTCCTGCCTTGCCCTCTCTTCCCTCGCCTTTTTCCCCAGTGCCTCCCTCTCCAGTCTCGCCTTCTCTTCTTCGGCCAGTCTCTCTTCTTCCTTCCGCCTAATCTCGGCCTGTTTCATTTCCTCAAAAGCTTTCTTTTCTTCAATTTTTTTCTGTTTCAAATTCTGTTTTTCCTCCTCCAACACCCGATTCAATTCCTTCGCAATTTCGCTGATCTTCTCTTTCTCCGGGTGCTCCCGAATGCGTGCACCGGTGACGGGACTCGCTCCGACATTCGAACCCACCGTTTCCCCCCACCTTGGCTCTTTCGTCTCGTTTTTCTTGTTTTCATCCGGAATCAATGATGGGTTCTTGTTCGGGATCTGCCCCTCCTTTTTCACTTGCATCGCGGTGTCCTTCTCTCCCCTTAAACTTTCCACTTTAACATCATATTCCCCCCCTGCATCAGGGACCTTGACCTTCCCCTTTGCCTTCTCGAACCGTTCCACCGCCGCTTCCGCCGCGGTCACCGCCGTGACCAAACTTTGCGCCACTTCGTTCGAGATGCCTCTACTGCGTTTTAAGGCGAACGTAAGGTTTTGTACGAGCATATCCACCTCTGCTTCCTTGGCTCTGGTCCTGTTAATAAGATCCCTCCATTCGAGCAACTTAAAGACACTGTTTTTCTCCTCGAGATCATCCGTATAAAACTTTAGTGCCTCCTTCTTCTTCTCCGATCTCAGTTCCTCCAAATTGCCAAGAAAAACCGTACAACCAACCAACACCCTCGCTTCATCACGTGCTTCTCGTGCCTTGTCAATGGCTTCCTTGCTTTTCTGCACTTCTGTGGTCATCACATCCACGTGTTTACGCAGCTCACGTTCAATCTTTTCACGCGAAACACTTTCAACACTCTTATTCAGTTTTTTTACGAGATCCATCGTCGTGTCGGCACCTTGTTTCAAACCGTCGGCAACTTTCCTGACCTTCGTGGCTATTTCCGCGTACTTCTTATTATTGTCGTCCCCAACTCTCTGACACGTTTTTGCACCCGGATATTGTACATCCACTTCCTTCAACCAATCCTCCATTTTTTTCGCATGTTTTTCACCTTCCTTTCTTTTTTCCTCGCTGTCGTCGGCGAAAACCATACACAAAAAGCAGTGCAGAAGCACCAACAGGTACACCACACGACGCAGTTGGACGAACATCGTTGTCATGATTGTAACTGTGGGTTGCTTGTATCCGTGGTAACAAGGAAGAAGAGGAAAAGGAGAAACGAGTCGCACATTTAACACACACGGCAGTGGGTACACAGCAACACAACGAAGGAGAGTGAAAGAGAATACGCATCACAACAGCAATCAAACACAACCCAATGAGGGGAACAACAGTAAACCACTCACCCAATAAAACACACCCAGAGTTACACAGGTACTGAAACAACACCTTGAATTTAGAAGAAGTGGAAAACAAATGGCATCAAAACAATATTAAATAAACGTCTCTACACACACACCCCAATATCTTACTCGGTATTCATACACACAAAGTGTGTCTGTATTCCCATTAAAATAAAACCATTACCAGGCAGTTTGAACACCAAAACACAGTGTACGCTTGACGACAACATACAAAAACAACACCACAAATCATCAGCAAAACAAAGAGACTGTACAATAATCAACACACCTCCAAACGGAAAAAAAGCAAAGAAACCAATGCATCACCATAATATTTACACCAACACCACAATTGGAATCTAAAACCCACTCACCCACAACCATAACAAAAATGACTGCATACATCACTGTAATAACATGCCACTCTTTACAAACAGAGGCAACACACAATTACTCTCTCTCTCACACATATTACCTCTTTATTTATCCTTATTATTATTATTATTTTATTTTTCCTTCAGAATGCCGGTTCACCTCTTCTTCTCCCAAAGCAATATCTACAAAAAAAAAACACCCAACCAAAAACACACGTCCTTCACTCCATGGTGTGTATTAGGAGGGTACAATCAAACATATCCCCCCACCCCAAAAGGACCCCCCACCACACAACACTCCACCACGTTTTTCCTTCTGCTCTTCGTGTTTTTTATGGATATTACTCCAATGGAACGGGTATCAACCGTACACCGTAGAGCACCTTAATTGCCGACTTAAGAGTGGCTCCGAAGAGGAAGATCCCTTTATTTTATAGGATCCTAAAGCTCTTGTAATATGATTTTTGGTTGTAGCCCGTTCCCAAACGAGAGAACCAGTCTACGAGAAATCCGATCGAGTAAACCCTACCAGATCTCTCTACTCTCACTTTTCTTACCCAGAACCCATCCTCAAGTCTCCTTTTTGTTATTATTTTTGTTATTTTTTTTTGTTATAGATTGGCCTCAATGAACTCCTATTTATTTTGTTGCTTGTTGGGTCGGCGGCAGGCGTCTTGAGCGTACTCTTCTATCAAGGTTTCCATGATCGTTCTCGTCGCTGATTTTAAGGAGTGGGGAGGCCTTAGAGAGGGGGAGGTAGGCTGCGTAGGGTTTCTCTTGGGTGTGAAGACTGTGGCATAGCGTAGTTCCGCTCCACCACAATAAGGAACTGTGCTAACCGCTTAGAAAAACACAGTTCTATCAGAGCTACATCAACTATAGCAAATTGAACTCGCAGTGGATGAAGAGTGGGCCAACTCCAAAGATGCAGAGCTGTTTCTTCACATTCGTCACGTTGGCTAGTGTGCACGCGAGTAGGATGATACCCGTGACGTGACATTCAGTGTAGAGTTAGGCCTGATTTACTCATACACAATGACGACCACATGAGGGACAGGCGAATGCCGGAAGGTCCCTTGTTTTCGTTGTTTTGTATCGTGTAGTGGTGTTGTTCTTTGTTCATTATGCCGCGTGCCACCGAGTAAAAGGTGCGATTGAATGGCCACACCATGTCACGAGGGGAACGGGGAAGGGTCATCTTTGCGGAATACCTTTCAAACCCATCTTTGCCAGCGTTGAAGTGGGGAAAGCAAGAGTTTTCAACTATTCCCAAAACCCCATTACAAGGAAGAAAAATCTAAACCTTGCCTTTCCCACATGAGCAATGAAACAGTGAGAAGAAATGAAGAACAATATAATAATTTATTCTCATGAACCCCAACTTTTCCGTGCAAATTATATTTGTATCACGATATTTTTTACGCGAAGGTTTTTTCCCTAATAAATTCTAGAACTGACGAAAATGGAAGTGCTGAGAAACCCATTTATCCCGCCTCCTGCCTTCCCCATCGCAAGTTGCACCCCTTCGTTACGTCTAAATATTGAATGTTTTTTTTCCCTAGATATGCCGTCTGCGGGGCTTCCTCGGACGCGGCGAAACTTCGAGTAGATCGCATTTCATGTGAGCGCAAAACTCTCTATGGCACCGGCTTCCGCCACTAACGCTGGTGAATATGTGTTTCGTTCTTGCATAATGTACATCATCGCCGTTGCTCTGCGCTTGCGAATATCGAAAGGGCTGTCACGTTGCGTTTTAAAACCAAGAAAAGCGAGATTAACTGCACGCATCTTTGCTTCCGATATCATGTGAGGTGCGAATGCTCCCACACACCGCCTGCGGCCAGCACTTCCCCTGAATCCCTGAATGACAAAGCCCCCAATTCGTACATGGAGGCGTCTGTTACCAGCCTTGCGGTGGATGGTAACCGCCGCGGTGGGTGAACGGGCCCGTTCGTCAGAAATGTTTGGGCCAACTTTGCCCAATGACCCTGGCATTAGATTGTAACTTTGCTGGCCTTGGGGCCGCAATAAACCCCGATTTAAACGAGACAAACGCCACCGCACTATTTTTAAGAAGAAATAGTAAGGGAAAAGGGATTCACCCCGCACTCCCGTTGCGCACATCGCGTGTGAAACTTTACTTTCCATTTCTTCAACCGCGGTGTATTCCAATAGTGGTGCTTGACCAACCTCTTTATTCTCTTTTTCCTTAAAGAAACCGTGTTTTTCTTGTGGTTGAAGCGCATTTCTATGAAAACATATTCCTTTGCTTGAAGGTGTTGCTCCCCAATAGTGGCCCCACGGCTTTGCATGTTATGCGCGATTTGTTGCCCCAAGCTTCCACCTTTTCGTGTGGACCACTAATTCTTATTCTGATATCATAAATCCAAACGTGTACGTTTAACTCCTTGGCCGACGCGCGCATAGGCAATGCCAATAAAGGATCGCCAGTCAAACTCTTGTAATGGTATTTGAAATCTCGGTACCGCATTTATAGCCCTTAGGAAGGCGAGTGAACCCAACGAGTTCCCCTGATTCCGTGAGGCAACGGTATCCTCCCCGGATATCGACTGGTAGGGCCGTCTGGAAAAAATGATGTCTCTAAATCAAATAACGTTGCGGTTTTGTCGCATACTGCGCCCTGGCACCGGGAAACGTGGCATAAAGAAACATCGGCCTCGTATTCATCCTGGGCCTTCTTTCCCTCACCCACGCAATGGATCGCCTTCTCTGCCCTGACAGTTTCCCCTGCGCCACCTTAAACGGGACCATTGGATTCACGTTCCTTGAAATGCGTTTCGCGTTTCCATGCATTATATTCCACGCCTCGGCCCTACGGCCCCCTGGCGCTGCAGTTTGGCCGTTTTCCGATCCATCTGGTGGGCAGTGTTCCTTCGTCCGTTTGTTGCAATGGTAATCGTTCTTCTTCTTTCGCCGCCGCCAAAATTCGATTCGATTTCTGTGGCATGCTGTCTCCTTTAAAAAGGATGCCAAAATCTCGTTTTGCGCATTCTGGTGAGGTCCATTTTTCCGCTGCCAATTTTTCCAAATGTCTTGCATCAATGATCTTAGGTGGGCGGGGTTGTTGGGTGTTTCGGCCCTATAGCCTAGATATCGCGCCGCGCTTCGCGGGAGTTCCATGGGATCCGCGTGTTTCCCCTGCCGTGTTCGCAATCGTGGGTTGGGATCGTGTTCTTTTTTTTTTTTTTTTGGCTTGCGAGGTTCTTTTAGCAAAGCGACGTGGCGCGTAGAGCTATAATGCCCAATACGGCCACAACTGAAACAGCGTGCCATGCTGGATGGTGGTGGTGCTGGATTTTTCTTCTGACACTTCGTGGTGGCCTGTATGAAAGGATTATCCTGTTTTTTGAGGCCCAACGATGGCCCCCGAATGTCCCGCATCCTCGCCCCCGGAAGGCCCTCAACCGTTCTATTGCCCGTGCTTTTGCGCAAAGCCATCGTCCCATTTGAACCCGTTGCGCCGCCACCCCTTCACTACGAACAAGGCGCGTCCATTGCAGAAAATCGCCCCATGCCTCGCCATAATCTGGGGAAGGGTTCGCCGGCATGGGAAAAACTTTTCCCGGCATGCGGTCGCCAATTGGTTGGGCGATACCCCCCTCAAATAATCCATTATTCCTTCAAAAGTGCGATTCACTCCTCTGGCCTGACGCCGCCGTTCCTTGCTGGCAGCCGGGGCCCCTGTGTTCCCCTGAAATCCCAATTTTAGGCAATTCCTAGTGCGCCATTGGTGCCCTATCCCATTTCCATGGGCTTTGTGATAAATCAATGGTTTTGTTGAAGGTGTTATGGGCGTTCCGGCATTTGTCTTCCGCCGCGCTTGTATTGGGATGCTCCTGCGCTATTTGTTGCAGCAATTTCACCGCCTGAATCTCTCTTTGAACGAGTTGCTGTAGTGCTGCCGCTGGTTGTGTTTGCTTTTCTCCCAGTTGCTTCTGAGTCGACCGCAATTGTGGACGCATTTCTCTCATTTGTGTTGTTGACCCTGTGGTTTAATGGCAAATTTGTGTCATTTGTCTTTGCATCTCCTGGACCTTTACCTTTGCGTTTGGCTGTGCCTTAAAACTGTCGTCCCCCAATTGCGTTCCTACACGTTGCTTCTGGTGGTATAATGGTGATTCTTTTTCTTCCAATGCCTCCCATTCTGCAATGAACCGTAAATGTAGTTCCAAAAAGGCATGTGGAAAAGCCGCATCTCTTGGCATAGCGAAACTCATCATGGAATGGCGCGGGCCTCCAAATTCATGGATGTATTTGGCTCCATTTTTACCATCAGTATGTCGTTTTCGAGTGTAAACAAATCATCCATGTGATAACTTTAATGCAGAGCTTTCTCTGGACGAAATTCAAATGCAAAAGCCGTAGGGACGTCATGGGTCACAAAAACTGCGAACGCCTACGTACTGGCCAACCGCGCTTTTCTTAAGACAGACGGATCATACATATCATTTTCATTATTTATAAGCTTACTTTTTTTCAGAAAAATACGTTTGAGAGAGTGTCGAGATGAAAAAGAATAATCATATTGCAGAAGTTTAAGTCTATACACCATTTGATCCCTATTAACGTAATACTCGATCATTCTTTTCAGAAGCTGAGAAAAAAAAGACTTTTGGAAAGAAAAGGAGAAAACGCCTCATCCGAACGACCCTTGACAGACTAAAACGCCCAAGGGAAATGCAGTCACTTTCAATCCGCACGAGCGAAGCAGAAAAAAAACACCAGCATCATGCCAAAATTAATTTCACTTATAATCCTTCTCGTTTTGTGGTTGCCTGGCTATTGTCGCCTAAATGGGTTTAACTATTTCTCCGTGAACAAAACCCCATTGGGGAGAGGATGGTCTAATCCATTCCCCGCGCTTCCTTAAGAAGAAAGGAAAAACGCACTTCCCAACGGCGGGACCCACGATGACTCTACAAACTGTTGCTGCGGTGTTGCCCGCAAACTGGTTTCAGAAGAGTTTATTCTTTTGTTTTTGCACAAACAAAATGATGGGAAAATGAAAACTCGTATCACGAAAGGGAAATCGCGACATCGGAACCTTTTGCCTCCGACGGTTAAAGAACGTCAGGCGTGAAAAAAAAAGTTGCAAACACCCCACATGCCAAGAAAAAAAAATTTTTTTTTTTTTTTCCTTTGATTGGATTGCGCGCCAAGTTAGCCAAAATGTGCGCCAGAAAGGCCAATATCACCAAAGAAGGGGCGCCAACAACAACAGACAGAAAGCCCGGCGCTTAAAAAAAAAAAAGATACAAAACAAAGACGGAACCGGAAAACAATACCACCATTTCACCAAAAGAAATTGGAGAAAAAAAGGAGAAACATGCCCCACCAGAAGGATAATGGCGGACTTTTGTGGCCCAGACCCGAGGCGACACATCACATGAGCGCAGAGGATTTTTACGTAACCCATTTAGTTACTGACATTGCTCGAGAAGTGCTGTGAAAGCCGACGCCTTTGATGCAATTACAATGCGCTAAACAGTTGCCTCTGCCCAAAAAAAGGAGAATGAAGAAAGAGCATATTGTGCCCAAGAATTAAAATAGATAACGAGATGCACGCGCCTGCAATTAATTTCTTATAACTTCAACATATTAGGTTTATTCATTTTTAAATTTTTATTTATTTTTTGCTTTAGGTTGGTTTCTTGATTTCCCTCCCCATTGATTCCCACCAATATTGGCTGGGAATGGGAGAATGCGGCTCAGCAGTTAACCACTGGTAGTTTCCATAAAGTTTCAGGAATCGTACCCCAATCCAGCAAACGCAATTATATCTTGATAAGGGAATTGGAATTTTTTCTTTTACGCCGCTCCCAGTAAAAAAATGGAAAAACTTAAGGAACATCACAAAGAAAAATTAGATATTGCCCCTTTTAAATGCGCTCTATACCTAAATACTTTATTTCCTTGATCCTATTACTCCCATTTCAGAGCAACAACCCGCGATACACCAGGCGGTGGTTAAAACCATTTCAGTTCTTTAAGGCATTGATGGCAAGCACCTTCCGCCGGTCGATAACTCATAAAAAACGACGGCCAAAAACACGAAAATTCAAAGATTATTGAAAGATACCTTTTTAACTATCTTTTGGCGCTCGGTTGGAATCAATTCTTTTTCTTTGGGAAGTGCAAACACTTACTGCAGATTTTCACTATAAAAATACACTGGAAATGGCCATAATGTGCAAAGTGCTTTTCAAATACCTTTTTTTTTACTTTTTTTTATGGTTTAGATTGCTCTGTGTAAAGGGCAATGGTGCGCAAACAATATCTATGAGTTCACAGGGCGTTAGCAATTTTGCAACGTCCTACCATTGTTCAGGCTGGGGATGCCATAATGTCAGAGTTTTCCTTCTGGCTAAAACTTCCCTGAGATACAATGGCCATACGGAAACTCTCTTGTAAATCTTCTTTCCATCTTGTAGTTTAAATCACTTCTTTGGTTATCATATTATTTTATATTTCACTGATATGATCCCTTCAGCGATTACCTAATCACAGAAGATGTGCTTCAGGAAATGCTTTGTGGTTGGTATAATTCTTTATTTTTCTATCCCAAACACTTTGGTTTATACACATTTTGAGTATTAAATTATTGTTTCACTTCTTTTATCCCACTTACTGATGTTATCGCAGAAACTCTTGTTACACATTGACGGTCTATCTTTTTTTTTTCTTTTTGCATCTAATAAGTCGAAAGATTAATTGACAAAACCCTTATAAGGGCCGGCGATTCGCTTCTCTGCCAAAAACCCTTCTGGACCACAGTGGTGGCCCACTGAACTTTAAAGGGGAATTAAATACTTAAAATTATTCCTTGAAACACTTTTTCCGCTTAACTTCGTTAAGGATCTATAACGGTGGGGTTTTGTAGGAAATTAGGTGTAATATTTTCAGGTTTCCCCAAAACTTCACAGATTTATGGAGACTCTTACTTCTAGAATGCGCCTGCGTTTCCGCACGTTATGGTTGAAATTGTTCGGTTCGCGGACCACGAATTTTCAAGTTAAAGCAACGACCGAATCCTTTTTTTTTCCCCCTACTCCCCAATCGTTTTTTTTTAAGGACCGCCTCCATTTTTGGGCACAATCCAGTGGAAATACAGAAAAAGAAAAACACCACTGCGACCACTCAATTGGTGGAGATAAAATAAAGACCGATTTGGAAAAAAGAGCAGTTTCCCTTATGCATCGGGCGTGGCGCATCAGAAAGCCACGGCGGCGTTCCCCGACCCTTCCTGAAAAGCTTGGCGGTCCGCCTTTTAATTCTGAACTATAAGAAATTTTTGCTTCCTATTTGCGAAGAGTTCCTTATTGAGCTGGTCCCTTTGAAAAATAAGACGCCGCGAACGCAATGGGAACCAATCCACACTTGATAATTGGCCCATTGGTTTCTTGGAAGTTTACCTTTTTCTTCCTAAAGTGGAAAACGTTCGGTACAGCAAGTCACGGGAAAATACTTTTTAGAAAGTGTCCCAAAACAAATACAATGAAAACCATACGATTTATTGATATGTAGTTTCTTTTTTCTTTAAGTAAGGAAGTTTTTTTTTTCTACAAGGGGTTTCCGGTACCACCCATAGATTTGATAGTTAGCGAAACTCTCTTTAGGTATTTTTCCTCTAAGGTTCCAAAGAAAACATCTAATTCATAAGGCAAGAAGAACCTTTATTGGAGCTCAAAATATCTCCAATGCTGCCTTAAATTATTCTTTTCTTTTTCTTGCGTTGCATTTTTTATTCATTTTCCGTTACCGGTAAACTCCAGCCACGGCAAAGGTCGATGCCATTCTCCCCTTTGCTAGCTTATATGAATTCCGAATTTCTACAAAAAAATTGAAGTAGGGTAAGCGGCTGTTTAAAATAAGATATACCCATTTAACATCAAAAAGGCGTTTCCTCAGCATTTTGGGTATAGCTTTCTTGGGCTCAAGCAACGTCTCTGCCAATAACCTTAGAAACATCCAAATTTATGAACCATAGGTGTTGTTACATAATGTGCTGGCATTCCGCATATTTTCAAGATAAACTTTTAAAAGAAGATTTAGTTTAAAAGGCTTTGAAATCCCTTCGGCTTCCGCCATCGGCATCTCTCCCCCCTGCTTTAGCGTGGCGGGGTTAGAAAGAAGGAATTTGCAGCGAAATACATATATACCAAGGGCCGCTTCGTTAGGCGAGGTGGGGTGGCTGCGCCTGAACTCTGGATTATTGATGGCCTCTGTTCTTTAAGTCATGTGTACGTTTTAAGGCGCACAAAATCCGAACAAAGAAAGCGTACGCAACATAAGAAACATATGCGGAATGCTAAGATTTACTTTAAACCACATCAATGCCATAAACGACTGCTATATCTGGGTCTTTGATTATTACTTTTATTTTATTTTATTTTTTTTGACCCCACGGACCAAGTGCCAAAACAGCCGTTTAAGAAGTCCAAGGGTTCCAATATGCAGATCTGGGACGTTATCCTGCCAGGGTGTGGGATTCAAGGACCCGCCCCTACCCCTTTGGTACCGGTAACGCATTGCGCCGGTAAGAAAATCATATCCACTGGAGTATCTTCTTAGGACGGCTGAGGAATCATAAATCCAGACCTTTTCCCGGCATGCGGTTGCCAACGGCCAAGGGTAAAACCAGCAGACCTTTAATAACAGCAGCAAATTTATTACCAGAATAATTGTTAGCGCTTTTTTTTTCTTAACACGAAATCTTAGAAGAAACATTTACTTGGAAATTTACTTCAGTAGAGGTTATTGAACTGTATAAGGGTAGACATAGGTGCCCGCACACTGCCGGAAGGTGAAGAAAGTGAGGCGGACCAGGAAGAAAGTAATCCATTGCAAAGGTTCAGTTATCTCCAATACAGATTTAGCAAACGAAAAAGGGTCACTTAATCATGTTTCTTCTCTAAGGTTTATCGGATGCGCGCTTGAGGTATTAAGTAAACTTTTTTCACCACCATTCTAAAATGGCATATCGCCTGAGAAACGCGGCAACAGACACATTAGCAAATGGTTCACTTTCTTACCGTAGAATGATGCTTGAGTGATGTGGTTCAAAATGGGTTTGTGAATATGGGTGAAGGGAAATTTGATAAATCCAGAAAACCAGTTCAACTTGTGCGGTGTCTCTTTTTTTTTCTCTGTGTTGGATGGATGTTGTAGCTGCGCAGTTTTATTTTTGATAAGAAAAAGAGTGTATTGACAGGTTTTCGTGTCTGTGTGTAAATTATTTATTGATATCTTATAAATATATCAAGGCGACCAAACGCGCGTAGAATTAGAAATTGGACAAGCGGAGGGCGGAAAAGATTAAAAACAAGGGGAGTGATTCCGTACAGCTATTGGGGTGATTCCTAACTTAATTTTTGGGGTTAGAAGGCATAATTCCATGAACCGCCGCCCCTCGCAAAAATGACACGAACCTTACCTGCGCCATACAATGGGTGGAGAGCAAAACCACCTATCCGCCAACCCCCGCTCAGCCACCAGACTTTGGCCCACGAAGTCTCCACAAAACCTCCTCTAATGTCGGATTGGAGTTTTTGGATGTCGTTATGAAATCGATCCGGCGGTCGCCCAAAGCACTCGCACATGGGAAGCGTTATGGGAAATGACCTTTTCGGTAAAAAAAAAAACCGCGACCCACGTCACATACCAACATCCTCAAAGTGCAGAACGGTAGCGCTGTCATTTTCCGGTTTGGAGTGCCGGTCTGTGTCCGGTGCGTTTGCTTCGCCGTTTGTCTGTTGGGTGGGGAGCCCGTCGGGGAGGGTGCCGTCCAAGCGCTAAGCGGTCATCTGAACAAGCCCGATTGGCGAGATATGGGTCGGGATGGTGGCAGGAGAAAGCTCGGGATCTACGGAAAGTTTTTCAGGTGATCCCTGGCCGCAACAAGCTCCGCGATGGGGCTGGTGCTACCAATCTTTGCGCCGTTACATCAAAAATGCTAGCGGTTCTGCACAAAAAGATTTTCAAGGATTAAAAGTTGAGTCAGGTTATTTTACAGCAGGGATAATTTACTTTCGGTTGAAATAAATATAGCCGGATTGGTCTACACCCCACTTCCCCTATAAAGGGAAAAAAGAAATATCTTATTTTTTTTTATTTCTCCTTACCGCCTGTTATGTTTAAAATTTCTTCCCTTGAAAAAGGTTCCCAAACATAAATTCATTATTGATTCTAAGGAAAAGAAACTAAAGAAGGTGTCGTATTTTTGCCCACCTACCAAACGCCAAAGCCCACCATATGTCATCTCTCTACGCCTTGCGCCCCTTTTGGAAAAACCCAAAGGGTAGAGTTTATGGCTCCATGGCAACTCGTTCTGCCAAAAAAAAAAAATGAACTTCCCCAGAGCGAATTTGCAATTCCTATTGAGAAAGTAAAATATGCAAATTTTGGTATCCATTTGTTCCATAAATCTGGGCGTTGGGGCGACCCCATCGTTTCTAGCGTGATACAGCGGCCGCCGGCGCTGTTTTCAGTAGTCAAAAGGACCAATTCCTAGCAAACAAGGCGTTTCAAACCACGGCACAACCACTCAAGTACCCTACATCAGAAATAGGGAAACAGTTTGTGTAGATTCCGGACCCCGTTTTAAACCCATAGTGAAACGATTAATCTTTAGAAATTCCCTTAACCCTGTTCTATCGAGGAAACTGGCCCGGACTACTTCTGAAAAGGAGGCTTTAAAGAAGAAAACTTTCAAAACAAAAAAAAACTCTCAGCCACTGGAGAAAATTCACCTTTGGCCAAACGTAAAATGGAGTCGCACCCACTCCAGTTTTTTCTTGCAGCAGTGCAAAAAACGCCACGAAACGCCTCATCGGATACATTGGGGCCGGGTTTGGAGGGTTTAGGGCAACACTTGGCTTTTTTTTATTCTTCTCGTGGGGTAATTCGAAATTGCACAGCTTTCCAAAGCATCCTGCGGCCTTGAAAAATTAAGTGAATTTCTGCCACTTACCCTCGAGAAGAAGCAAATTCAAGGGTTTCTCTTTACCCTGCGTTGGTGGGTCAATCACCTCTGCGAAGCTTACAGTTGGCACCCAGTAGTGCAGAAAGTGTAGAACATATTCTGAAGAAATTCCATTTGACCCAGTGTGATTTCCCAGTTGTCTTCCCAAACGAAGTTTCTTTTTGTTCTTCGTGTTTTTATGGATGTTACTCCAATGGAACGGGTCATCAAGAGTAATGCATAAATATACATAAATACAATTTGTTTTTATGTTATTTTTTTACTACCGTTGGGCATGAGGAGTACACATTGGCAATGAAATTACAATGGATCTTGTAGGTGGCAGAACATGGATTTTTATTTTTTCGTCTCTCTGAGTCACCTCAGCGGCCAAATCTAATTTCCGCCACTGGAGAACATAATTGTTACTGTCTCTAGGGTCCCTGTCACTCCCATTTAGCAGCATTAACACTAAAGTGCAATATGTAAAAGAAACTGCTGCTGATTCGCACCCCAGGACCTTCTTGCATAAAGTTTTGTCCCAGTACGACGCTGTTTGCCCCGGTGCTGTATGACGTTTAGTTGCTTATGAACCCGTAAACTCTATAGAAAAGAATTTACTGACCCATGGCTTCCCTCAAAATAATAAGGGATAATGGGCATTGGCTCCAACTTTTGATGGCCAAACGTCACCTAGGGAATGCCATTCCTAAGAACGCATTTATTGAAAAAAAAAATAAAAAGAATTTGGTTTTTTTAGGGAGACCACCTCCTTCAAAAATTTAGCGGGTTGAGTTTGGTTTCTTTTGGCAAATTCAATTGCCCAACCTCGAGGCCAGAAATAAAACGAAAAAAAAAGCAGAAAAACATTGCTGGTGGTGGGGTTCGAACCCACGAAGCTTGCGCATAAGAACTTAAGTCTTACCCCTTTGACCATCTCGGGAACCCCAGCGCTCATATTTCGCTTGTTTTTCAGCCTTTATTGGGATAGAAAAAAAACTATGGGTTGGGTCCTCCTTTTTCCTAGTGGTCAAAACCATTGCCAAGACCTCAAGAGCACCAACTTTTCCTAGCCGCAAAATTCCAGCGGGGAATGGGGAACAGTTTCAGGCGTGAATTCATTTCGTTTTATGTTCCAAAGATGGCCCAAAAAAAATAATTCTTGTTTTTCAGCATCCAAACCTGACCCGAAAAAAAAATACAATGGCGATGGCGCCGCGGCAGTTTCGACGATCCATTCCGGAGGGGCGGTCAACCCCGAAGCGGGCCGATTTAATTTTATTTGCCTGGTTTCTGGAATGGTACTTCCTCTTTTCATACACCCCCCCAATGGTCTCATTAGTGTCCTGATGAACCCAAATCCTGGGAATAAACTTTACCGTTTGGTTGCTGGGTAGTTGCGCTGCGGCTGGGGCCCCCCAAAATGAGGGTTGCACTTCTCCCGAACCCTTTGCCGCTTCGAAGCGTGCGCCAAAGTAAGATTGTAAATTATCCTTTTCTCGTTTGAAGGTGTTGTTTTATTTGGACCGCATGGGTTGCGGGAAATTTGGCGCGTCATCTGCCCAAAAGGGCTGCCGTGGTGGCGCTCTGTGAGGGCACGGTTCTGGCATCAAAAGTGTGAATGCATTCTTTCGGGAACCCTTCCGACCCTCAAGAACTTTGTCTTGCAGCTGTGGTTTCCCAAAGTTCCCAGACGAGAAAGGGCCTAGGGTGGTCCTTTCCCGTCGTTTTTTGCAAGCTTAACCAAAATAACAATTTACCAAATCATATAGCATACCTTTTTTATGAGAAATAGGAAGATATTTAAAGGTACACTTATGGGTCGGCAGGCGGATAATATCTTCCCCACCTTTCTTTTATCCGGCGCCTAACTGCTTACAAACTGGGGTTTCTGCCTGGGTCCTGGGCACGTCTCTTAAGGCGGTGGTGTTGATGGACGCCGTTCAGGTTTCTATCGGGTGCGGGTGTGCTCCAAGACGGGGGCGAACGAAAGGACCCCCAAAAATAATTCCAAGCGGACGGGTGGGACCCACGAACCCGTTTTTTCCGCAGCCGCAAACCCCGAAAAGGGAACCGAAGGGAAAAAAAAAACGGATTCGGGAACGACCCCGCCGCCGAGGAAAACCGAGGGAGAGCGGCGCAATTGCGGGATCGGCGGCCCTCGAGGGGGGCGCCGCGCATTGTGGTCGGTTGGCGTGATTTTATCCCGGCGTGGGGCCGGGGAAGTGCGACGGGGAAAAGAAACAGGGGTCGTCCGATCGAGCGGTTTTCTGGAGTGTGTTTCGTGCGTTCTTTGTTGTGGTTTTTCTCTGCGGCGGCGTTCATCGTTTCCGCGGGTGAGTCATTGTTTTTTATTTATTTCGGCGGCGGGGTTGCGGATGTGGTGTTTAAATTTTTTTTTTTTATTTCGGGTGGGCTGACTCACGCGTTTCTGGTGCGTCCAGTTGGTCTTGATTGGAAAAAAAATAATTAATTGCGAGACGTGGTGAGTTGCTATTGTTCCTGTAGTTTTTTTTTTTTGATCTTGTCACACTCTTATTTATTTATTTTTTTTCTGTTTTTACCTTCATGAGAGATTTTTTTTTTTGTTTTAAGTTTTAATGAGAAGCACGGTTATTTCTTTGATATCAGCGTTTTTTTTTTGTTTTTTTTAAGCGGTATTGTTTTTGGTGGAGCGCTATTTTTCTGTTATGTGGCCTATGTAAAAGAAAAAAAAAATAGTGGAGCTGCCTTCATCAAATAATTCAGGTAATTTATCTTGGTCATGATTTCTTTTGCATTTTTTATTGATGTGATTTGGTCACGGGTACCTAAGATAATTTTATTGGAGTAGTTGTTTTCGTAAATTTCTTTTTTTTTTTTTTGCTTGATTCTGTGTGGTTTTTATAACCTTGTTTTCTATTAAGGTATATTTTTCTCTTATTTTTAGTGTTTTTTATTTTATTATTGTATGTCTCCTCCATCTTTTTACTGTGATTGAGCTGTGTTACATGTCTTTTTGTTTTTATTTCCTTGTTTTTTTTTTATTTTGATTGTAGCATTGGGGTGCTGTTAAAAGAAAAAGAAAAATGGCAGAACATCGTGTTTTTACAGATCAGACTAACCGTCTTGCCGTAACACGGAAGAGTTTGCCACCTTTGGTATCCCCAGCTTTGGGTGTAAACAAGGAAAAAGCCACAGGTGGATTAAAGGAATCTGATATTGGTCGTAGTCTTCCCCAAAAGAAGGTAATTGCAGATCTTATTTCTGTACCAGAATACAGTGCTGAGATTGGGGATTATTTCCTTGTTGCCGAAAGAAGCCATTATCGTGATCCGAGTTACATGTCTAATCAACCTGAAATAAGTGAAAGAATGAGAATGATCCTTATTGATTGGCTTGTGGATGTGGTTATAAAATTTAAGTTACATGCAGAAACTTATTATTTGGCTGTTGATATTGTAGATCGATACTTGGGGGCAAAAGAAGTTGGCAGAGCGAAACTTCAATTGGTTGGTATAACTGCTATTCTTCTTGCAGCAAAACATGAAGAAATTTGGCCACCTGGAATAAAGGATTGTGTTTTTATTTGTGCTAATACTTATACTGCACAAGAAGTTTTTGCAATGGAAAGAGATATTGCAATTACATTACGGTTTAAATTAACTGTACCTACAACATATCCTTTAGCTTGTCGATTTTTGGAATGGGAAGATAGTGATCAAATTGTCCGTGATGCGACATTTTTATTTTTGGAATCTGCTTCCCATAACTATGAAATGTTACAATATCTACCTTCCCGAGTGGCCGCTGCTTCTGTTTTTCTTGGACGTTTGATTATCGCATGGAATAACTCTACTGATCGATCCAATATTTCAATAAACAAACTTTGGGATCGGGAAATGACCCATGTTAGCCGAGGAATTACACTAGATGAAGTTACTTCCGTAGCAAGTAAGCTTTTGACCTTTACAAAGGACTTATGCACGGCTTCTTCAAAACTTCAAGCTGTTCGACGCAAATATCTTTCTCAGAAATATAACAATGTGTGTTCATTAGATTTTCCTACACCAACTTTTTTTTCTTCTTTTTAGATGGGGAACTTGTTAATTTCCTTTTTTACCCCACTCACTCAACTTCCCCCACCCCACCCCTCTTTTCAAGAATATTAGACTCACAAAGACTATCCTACTTTCAAATAAGATTTTTAGAACATCTTGACCTCTACATTTTTTTTTTTTTTATTATGTTTTTCTTTTTGTGTGAATATCTGGAATGGTTCTATAACTTACCAATACCAGGTTAAAGAAAAAGAAGAAAAAAAACTTTATGTTGATGATTTTCTTTTGTTCTGCTTTTGTGTTATTATTATTATTACTGTTAGTGTTATTATTGTTATTATTGTTATCTTTGATGTTATGTTTAATTTTTATTATTATTATTTTTTGTTTTCTTTTATGTTATATATTTGTTTTTCATTATTAAAGTACACTAGAAGAATGAAAAACAGTGTGGCTCGTACTCAGCCTGTTCGTCATTATGCTAATTTTCCTCCAGATAACAATTTACCATTGGCTATAGGGGCTAATTTTCATGATGATCCACTTTGTCGTGATACTCTACGAAAAAGTCATACATTGCTCTTACCTAAAGATGTGGATTATGCCCCTCATACTGAGTATGTTTATAATGGCGGTGATTTTACTCGAGATAGAAAAGGAATGACTAAATCTACAGCTGATGATGATGAAAGTGATGATGAAAATGTATTTGATGGATGGCTTTCTGCAAGTTTTGATGAACCAAATGCTGGAAAAGATCATATAGTTCGTTTTCTCGCATACTTTGTTGAAAATATTCCTGAAAGTCCTAATGAAACTACTATTGTAAGAAAAGTATGTATTCGTTATTATACACAAGATAATAGTATATCAGTTATTGAAGGAAAACAGGATAACAGTGGTATTGTACAATCTGTAATTTTATCACGTCGACAAGTACCTAAGAAAAGTGATGATGTTACTAATCTTGTTACTCTTGATGATTTTCATATTGGAGATTCTATAAAATTATATCAAAGAGAATATCATATTCTTGATATGGATACTAGAAGTCGATTATATTATGAAAAAATAAGAGGAGAAAAGGTTCCAGAAGCATTACCTTGGCCAATGGAATTAGATAAATTTACTACTGTTATGCAAGAACGTCTTTCAAAAAGTACTCATCGAATGGCAACTTCTGAAGATATGGATAGAAAACGAGCAATTGAACAACAACTTACAGGAATCTACACAAAACATGCAACAGAAGATATTATTGAAGCTCAAAAGTTTTTAAAACATAATATTAATGAGCATTTAACATTCCTTGCATTATGGGATGATCGAGAAAATTTAAGTGGAGATTTACGTTATTGTGCAATTCGTATTTATCTTGAAAATGATACTGTGGAAATTATGGAAAACAGACCTGAAAATTCTGGACGTGATGGTAGTATAATACTTTTACGTCGTCAACGTGTTCCTCGTCCTGGAGTAGATATTCAAAAATCTCGTTTTCAAGAACATACTTTTGGTGTAATTATGAAACGTGATTTTCTTGTTGCTGAAGATATTCAAATTGGTTCAACATATATTATTCATGGAAGACCTTATTATATTTATGATGCTGATACTTCTACTCGTGAATATATGAAGAAAGAATATGGTATTGAACTTGCTCCTGCAGTGGATATTAATCCATTTATTAAATCTGATATGAAAGAACCTGTAAGATTTTATCCTCCTCCTCCTAATGGATTTGGTAGTGAACGTGAAAAACGTGCTAACTGGGTTAGTTTAACAGCGAAACCACCAAGACAAGATCTTGCTAAATGGGAAAAAGAAAAAGGACGAGTCATGCGTTTTTTGGCAAAACTTTCAAAACCATTGGTTCCTGGAGATGAAAAAAGAGAATTTGTTATTTCTTTTCATCGTGCAACAGATGAATTGGAAATTTTTGAAAAACCAGAAAGAAATTCTGGTTTTATTGCAGGACGTTTTCTTGCAAAAGGAATTTATAGAAAAGAATTACCAAATGGTTCATCAACTCTTTACACACCAGATGATTTTGAAGTTGGCAAAGAAATTATTATAATGGAAAGACCTTTTAAATTACTTGCAATGGATGAGGAAACAAAACGAATTCTTGAAGATAAAGAAACTTCAACTAATGAAACTCGTATGAAGGAATTACTTCTTTTATTTAAACAACAAGTACATTTAAAGTTTCTTCGTGTTCATGAAGCTTATTGTTCTCTTGCTCCTGGTGGTGTACTTGGTTACCGTCAGGTTCGTGAATTTTTACGATCATGTAGTTGTACAATAACAGATGAAGAAGCCATATTATTGGTACAAAATATTGCTCCATCCAGTAAAGGTATAATTTCTTTTGAACAATTTCTAGAAGTGGTAAATGTTACTTCTTCAGGTCATATGGATGAAGCATCACTTACAACACGTTCAGTAAAATCAGTTAATATGAAAAGAGATGACACCTTACGAGCTACTGCATTAAAAGCGGAAGATCTTCGACGAAAAAGAGAACTTGAACTTGAATTACGACATAAATTAACTCAAAGAAGAGGAACTACTCAAGAACAATTTCGTCTTTTAGGTTGTCATAGCGCAACATCAAGATTAAATAGAGATGTATTTAGACGTTCACTAAATGAAATTATGCATTTTAATGTTTCTAAGAAAGATGAAGATATGTTGGTATCTATTTTATTTGATGGTCGTGAAGATGAAAACGGTGATATCACTTACAAGCAATTTCAAGAGTTTACTGATGTTGATAGAATATTGTAACCCTTAGAAAATGCTTTCTTTTAAAAGACATGTAAATAAGGTCATTTTGGCATGACATTACTGAATGTTTCTTTTTTTTTTTTTACTATTAGATGTATGGAATAAAAGAAAACAAAGAAGAAAAAAAACGAAAATAGGAAAAAAAGATTTGAGTTATTTGTATATACACACGAAAAACAAAGTAGAGGGGATTCAAAAAAGAATAATTTGGAAGTTGATCTTTTTTTGTTTTTTGTTTTCTTTTTTTTTGGAATTGTGTGAATATGATTTTTGGATCCTTTTTTCTTTTTATTTCCTTTTCCTCTTCCTTTTTTTTTTCTGTATCTTTCTTTATGTGTGTGTGTATGATGTTCGTTTTTTTTATTTCGTATTCTAGACAATAATATGCGGAATGCACCTTTCCTTCTGTTTGGTGCAGGTGGAACACAGGGAGGAGTAAAAAAAGTTACTCAAGGGACTACAATTTCTTATACAAAATGGGCTCTTGTTGATGGAGCTCGTGCTATTTTAGCTCCCATTCATCATCCACTCGTTACTGAATATTTTATTCGCCTAAACCAAAAACGTATATATCTTGAAAAATTACAAGAACAAGGAGATACAGATGTATTACGTCAATTAAAAAATAAGGTTGATGGAAAACCTTTTGATAATGTTCAGTGGAATATTCAGTACAGAGATGAACTTGATGTAGCTGAAGAGATTTCAGGTTATTTGCTAAAAATCAATGATAATATGATCTTGAAAGATCAACTTCATTCACAGAAAAGTCTAACAGAAGAAGATCGAGATCTTCTTCCTATGGTTGAAGAAGATATAAATGATCTCTTAAATCGTGTTAAAGGTATGGATGATCAAGTAAATAAGGTTATGGGAAGACGTCTTGAATCTGGTGATGCATTAGGATCATCTAGTCGCACATGGATAGTAGAAGTTTCTGGTAAAGCTGGTGGCGAAGAGGCTTCCCTATTTGCTGGAGAATTAGCTGAAATGTATAAGACCTATTCAATGGTTAAAAGAGAATGGAATATTGAGAATATTGAAGATAAAGGTGATACAGATGGTCCTTCGTCAGGTACACCAGCAGTTCCTACTACTGGAGCAAGATTTCAAGTTACAGGTGACAGTGTATATCGTAGTATGCGTCATGAAATTGGTGTTCATAAAGTACAGCGTGTTCCTATAACGGATCAAGATGGTAAAATGCAAACTTCAACAGCAGTAGTTACATTAATGCCAGTTCTTGATCCTGTATCTGTAAATGTTCATGAAGAAGACTGTAAAATAGAATTTGTAAGAGGTTCTGGCCCTGGAGGTCAAGGTATGCAAAGTAGCTCTAACGCTGTTTGTCTCACGCACAAACCTTCAGGAATTTCTGTAAAGTGTCATCAATCACGTTCTGCTCTTGGAAATAAAGAATTAGCTTTACAAACGGTAGCTCAACAACTGTTAGCAAGACGTATAAAAGATCAGAATTCTTCTCTTCATGATGCTTGGAGGAATCAATGGAGTAGTGGTGAACGATCTGATAAAATGCGAACATACAATTATCCTCAAAACCGTGTAACCGATCATCGATTAGGCAAAGACTTTCCATTACAAACCTTTATGGAAGGTGGTGGGGCTTTAAAAGAACTCCACGATGAACTAAACGCAGTGGATGATACACAACTGCTAATCACAGTCTTGCTACGGCATATAGAGGGTGAATTTGGTAGTGTTGTTTGAAGAGTTTAGATTACATATACTTTGTGAATTACCAACAAGAAAAACTGAAAGATTATTTCTTTCTTTCATATATATATGTGAATACCTGAATAACTTAATTCTTTTTTTTTGCTTTTGAGTTGATTGTATTGGCTAAAAAAAAATCTCTCTTCATCGTTTCGTTTTGTTATGCTGCCAAGGAAAAAAATAATAACAGACAAGAGAAATAATAATAATAGTAGTAGCCAAACAAAAAAGAATTTCTTTTTTTTATTGTGATGTCAAAGGATACTTTAGAGAGCGAGAAGAAAAATAAGCTTCCATTCCTTCTTGAAAAATGGCTTTCATTCGTTGATTACATGAGTGCTGATTTTCTGGGAGGACCCCGTGTTCTAAAGCTTTCTCATGTTGTTAATTTTCAAAAGGGTTCTACACTTTTGGTTTGTCTATTAATGATGAAACAGGCAAATAATTATTCTGCAACAGCAACGACCTATACAGCTCTTCATGGTGGCTATGGACTTTGTTGGTTATTAAAAGAACTTATTTTTCCTGATCCAAAATGGCAAAGATCTATTACTATTGGAAGTGTTTTT